CGCGGTCGCCGGCCACTGTCCAAGCCGCCCTGTGTGGGCTGCAGCGCCCCCGCGAGCTGGCCCTGCGGCCAGATGAAGCTCGCGCGCGCCCAGAGCCCGCACACTCCCGCCGCAGCGCAGTTCGTGAACCCCTTTGCCCCGCTCCGCAGTCTGGGGTGCCCTTCCGAGCCTGTGTGCGCAGGTCTGCGCTGACCCAAAGTCCCTGGAGAGCTCTGACTCCCTCGTCAGGCTCCTGGTGCCAGGCGCTGGGGCAGGAGCGCCCCTTGGGGAGTCCAGGTGCGGCCTGGGGTTGGCTGACCTGGCCCTGGTGGGAGAAGCACCCTGCAGTCCTGCTTCCCCTGGGCCCTAGGCATTTTGTTTTCAGGGTCTTCCTCCCCCATGAAAGTAGTTTAAAATTATATCCTATAGCTGGGTTAACATAAAATGTGAATATATATTCATAATACATGTGATGAAGATACTGAAAATTTCTTTTGCCCTAAAAATGAGGTATTTTTTATTCTGATTTTAAATGAAGAATTTTTGTGGATGCCCAACAGTCTTTTTTTCTCCTAGACTTTCTGCTTCACCCCTGCCTGTCCTCCCTGGACACTGGGTTAAGGCCCGAGAGGGAAGCCTCTTCCCTCTTCACCTTGTGCCAACACAGTGCGTACTTACGCAGACCCACGTGTTACAGCCTTCTAAACACCCCGGCTGTATGTGGAGCCTAAGGAGACCACCATCCGTGGTCCCTTGGGGACCAAAATAAGAAGCCATATTTGACAAACATCTATACACAGTGGAACATTACTCACCCCTAAAGCCTGCCATTTGCAATAGCCCAGAAGGGAATGAAACCTACACAGAAAGACAAGCACTGCTTGATCTCATTTATATGAAAAATATGAATAATGTAGCTTCTAGACCCAGAGTATCAAGTATCAGGATCTGGGGGAGGGGGAGCTCGAGGTTTCCAGAAACCTGGGCTGCACTGCACAGTATGTGCCCATCTCTGGCAATACTGTATCAGATGCTTAGGAATCTGCAGAGAGGTGGATCTTACCTTTCTTACCACGCACTACAAATAACAGTAGCAGTTACAATAAATGAAGAGGGAACCTTCTAGAAGTGCTGGACATGTTAACAGCAAAGTTCACCGTGTGAGCTTAGCTCCAGGCTCGTCAAGTTGTGCTCGTCAAACACAACTTGTGTGCGGCTGTCCGTGCCGGCCACTGCTCCAGAGCATGTCCGCAGGCTGCTGCTGTGCCCCCTTTCCCTCCCTCGCCCCCCAAGGCTCCAGGTCTGCCTGGCCGCCAGGAGCCACCAGAGGGCCGGTCGCGGACTGCGGAGGGAGGCGGGAGGAACGAGCTGCTGTTCCTGCGCAGCAGCACACGGGTGCTTAGAGTTTACTTCATTAGGCCTTTTGCGGCAGCGTGGACGGGGCCGGAAGGGGCCATGCTGACTGAAGTAAGCCAGGAAGAAGAGGGAAAATACCGAGGGTCTCACTCAGAGCAGGAGCTCAAGGGACGGGTGGGGGGAAATAATAACGAGCAACTGTGTACCGGGGTGGAGTGGGGACGGGGTCAAAGATGGGGCGGGGGGTGCACGGGACTGTGGTGATGGCACAGGGTGATCTGGTGATGGGAAGCCCACGGGGATGGCAACTGAGGTGGAAAAAGGCACAAAGCGATGTCAAAATAAACCATGAGGGCCTCCCTGGTGGTGCAAGGAGTTAAGTCTCAGCACTCTGAGGCCATCTGCAGCCCCTGCAGCACGAACTCGATCCCCGGCCCGGAGGGACCCCGGGCGCGGCAGCCCCCTCCCGTCTCCCCGCTGCCCCCCAGCCGTGGGTTTCAGCGGACCCACCTGTTCTGCTCCCCACCCTGTCTCTGGGAGTCCTCTTGCCCCCCACATCTCTGGCCTGTACCCCAGCTCTTGTCTGTATACATAAATAAAATAAATCTATTTAAAAAACCAACAAAACGATGTTCCCAAAGGAGCATCAACCATCTTGGAAGGAAACAACTTAGCAGGCGGCGTGAGGCCTGTTTGCCGCCGCGCTGGGCAGTCAGGTGTGGCTGGGTGCGTGGCCCTGCTGAGAACGGCGCTGCGGGGCGGTGGGGGGCGGGTGCTGGGGGCAGAGGGGGCTGCGGGGCGGTGGGGGGCGGGTGTTCACATCAAGGGCTTCGTAAACTGTCCTGGGTGAGGCCGTTCTGGTGCAGCCGGTTGAGGCTCCAGTTCTTCATGGCCCGTCAGCAGGCGCAGGAGTGGATCTGCGGCCTCAAGCCCAGAGCCCACCAGACGCGGGCTCCCCTGCGGCCCGGCCCTAGCCCCCTCGACGGGACCGTCTGTGCAGGCCGGGGGGGCGGCTGCAGGGAGCCCACAGGGCCAGGCACCCAGGCTGTGGGCGTGGGGAAGGTGCAGGCGCAGCTACAGCCTCAGGCAGGGAAAGGGGCAGGTGGCGGGTTTGGTCCCCACCAGCTCTAGCCAAGGCGGCAGTTCCTTCCAGAACGTTCTTGCTAAGTCATCACGAATACACCAGCGCTCCCCTCTCTTGGGGTGCTGGGCCAGCGAGGAATCTATCAGACACAGAGAAGTCTCGCGGACCCCACCGGGGGTGCGGTGCCCAGGTCCCCGCGCCAGGTCACCTCTCAGCCGGGCGGGTGGCTCGTCCTCGAGCCTGGTGGCCCCAGCATAGGGGGGCCCAGCCGCCCCCCCCCCCCCCCCCCCCGTCCGCCAGCAAAGCCGCCGAGAAAACACGTCCCCCGCAACAGAAGCGGCGGAACAAAGGAATCGCGGCGGGAGAAGGGCCCATCCGTCAGGGCCCGCGTGGAAGGAGCCATCCATCACGCGCTCGATACATGCAGATGCGCGGGGCCGGGAGAGAAAACCCTTGGGCCGCTCCTG